ATATATATAATGTAAATGAATTTTATTATTAACTTATTATAAATGATTATAATTTTATTATAGATCAGTAATATGTAAATCATGTGTAAAATGTGACTAATATTGTACAAACTATTGTACAAATATTGTATGTAAATTTAAAGTTATTGTATTATTTTATTATATTATATTTCATAATGTAAGCAAAGAATATGAAAAAAATGTATGTCAGTAATATGCACGAAACAAAATCTCTCTCTCTCTCTCTATATATAATGCACATTTAAGTAAGTTGTTTTATTATTATTTTATTATAGATTAGAAACAGTGAATGTTACTAATATTGTACAAATTATGTACATTTTAAGTTAATTTATCTTATTACATTATAGATCAGAAATAGTAAGATTAGTAATGTGACTAATATTGTAGAAAATCATAGTAAGCGAATGATTTGGTTACTCGTAGTTTACTTACAGTCTGTATGATGCACATCAGCTCTGGAGCTCCAGCTGGCTCTGACTCGGACTCTACTACAGTCTGATCTGCACACATCTGATATCAGGACAGGTGTGCTCACTTTACACCACACCTGTCCACTCACACCTGCCGGCCTTATCTGGCCGAAGCCATCGAAACCAAAGCCAAACCAATTCATTGACCTATCCCGCTTCACATTAAGAACTGTCACTTGCTTTCATGTGTGTACAGTTGCAAGTGAGTTCCATCAGCAACCATTAGGAACGTCGGAAAGTCGGAACAAGAGCGCTGTCTTCTGTCAAAATAAAAGTAATGTTGTGTTCAAAAATAAAATTTAATATATAATAAAAGTTTTATGACTGGAATACTATTATATTATATTATATTATATTATATTATATTATATTATTAAACCTGAAACCATTGACCACATACAGGACTTTAATTTTGAAATCGGTTCCGTTTTGCAGCCATTATAAGGACGCGCGCCAGGGTTTCTTCACTGAGGGCTGCTGTCACTCACGGTGTCCGTAACGACTGTAAATAAAACAAATATTGTCATTTACACTGATTTCACCCCGCTTACCACAAGATCAATATTGAGGCTTCGGCTTCAGCGGCCTTGGAGCGCCAGGTGAGGGGTTATTGTATTCAAATAAAGCACTTTAGTTAAAGTCTCCGGCTGTGTGCGTGAGTTCGGCTTTTAGGTGCAGATTTCAGATTCATCACCTTTAAATGTGTTTTAAATGTGTTTTGTTATGTTTAAACGGTCGCAGCCATTAAAAAACAGTAGTTTAGAGTCGCAGTTTTTCATATACTGCAAATGAGTCTCAGTTTATTGACTTTAGTAAAGGTTTTTGGGAAGAATAGGTGATGTGTGCTAGTGCTGTTAGCTCCAGTGGAGATTCAGGTCTGAATCTGGGTTAATATCTGTTATTTTGAATCTGTCTGATCTGAACCGGATCTGATTTCATTTCTATTCTAGGTCTAATCTGAATTTATTGTGATGTCTGCTTTAATGTCTGTTCTTGATTCAGAAAGTGATGTAATATTAGGTCTTAAACTGATCCTAATCTGATTTCTATTCTGAGTCTGGTCTGCATCTGTTCTCATATCTGATTTTATATCTGCTCTGATCTGATTCTGAATTGAATTTAATGTCAGGTCTTAAATTGAATCTGATCGGATCCTAATCTGATTTCATCTACATTCTGAGTCTGATCTGAATCATATCTGGTTCAATATCTCTTCTGTTCCGATTCTTAATATGATTTAATATCCGGTCTCAATCTGAATCTGTCATATCTGATCTAATCCGAATCTGATTGCATTTCAATTCTGAGTCGGATCTGAATCTGCTGTCAAATCTTATATGGATATGATTCGATATCTGTTCTGAATCTGATTAATGGCTGTTTAAATCTGGTCTTCTGATGTAAACTCTTTTTTCTGCATGTTTTTTGTGTGTATTGAGAGCTGTAAACTAACTCCACACTCTTGTTCACAGCCCTGCCCAGGTTTCTAATGGGTTTTAAAATGATGTGATGAGCTATCAATAAATCTCTGATCTCAATGTCCTGCATTATTAATCAGATTGTTCTCTTTCTTTCTGTAGCCATGGCGTCTCTGTCCGAGGAGGTGTTGTTGGTGGTGAAGAGGGTCCGTCAGAGGAAGCAGGACGGGACTCTGTACCTGATGGCCGAGCGGATCGCCTGGGGTCCAGAAGGGAAGGACCGCTTCACAGTCAGCCACCTGTACGCCGACATCCGCTGTGAGTTTCACTCAGGTTTCAGCCTCTACAGCCTCTTTTGGGTTTGGTTGGTTTGAGGGACTACGAGTGTGTGACCTTTGACATGCTAAAATACTATGGAATCCATGCATAAAATATTATGCATGGATTAATAGAGTAAAAGTAGGTTACTCTTAAGACAGACCTACCATGAGCTCTGAGCTTGTTCAGTGATGCTAATGTAGAAACAGTAGTCACTGTTGCCATGGAAATGAAATTTTTGGCAAAAAAGCTCAGCAGTTTCTGCTCACTCCTATGAAGAACTGCTAAATATTATTAAAACACTTTGAAACAACTTGTTTATATATAAATTGTTACAAATAATACAAAATATATTGTTTTGCAATTTAGTAAATATGATGTTATATGTATTATATTGCAAAATGCAATATCTATCTGTCTGTCTGTCTGTCTGTCTATCTGTCATCTGACTATCTAGCTATGTGTCTGACTATCTATCATCTGACTATCTATCTATCTGTCTATCTGACTATCTATCTATCATCTGACTATCTATCTATCTATCTGTCTGACTATCTATCATCTGACTCTCTTTATCTATCTATCTGTCTGTCTGTCTGTCTGTCTATCATCTGACTATATCTATCTATCATCTGACTATCTATCTATCTATCTATCTATCTATCTATCTCATCTGACTATCATCTGACTATCTATCTATCTATCTATCTATCATCTGACTATATC